AATGCAGACAAGATCCGTCCTTCCAATATTCCAAGACAAAATTCACAAGAGCTCTTCTCGCTACAGTTTTACATTCATGGCAGGCGATTTACAGTTTGACAGTTAGCAAAGCAGGGTATTCTCCATAAAGTAATTTTACTACATACATACATATGTATATTTATATAAGTAGAGTATTTCATATTCGCTTGAATGTCATGAATGAATTTGTTTTACTTCTTTCAGTTTTTATTGCAGACTTGTCATTTGCAATGCATATAAATGTGTGTGTGTGTATAGGTTATAGGTATGTGTGTATGTGGATAGAGTATGTTTCATTTCTTGGACTTTCCTCTCACAGCACTTGCAAATCGATAAAAACAATTTTCAACCTACAATAGTCATAGCACGTGCCCGTTGTATACTACGTACATACCTATACAAACATACACATGTACATACATACATATATGCAGATATATTATAATATACCCACCGTCATATTGATATATCAATTGGTGAAAGAAAAATAGGTTTGGGAATTGCAGACATGACAAAGGCGCTTTCTTATAAGAGTTTCCAGCACTTCTTATTGGATTCTAGTTGTATGCCAGCTAATATTATTTAGCTGCATTCTTACACTCACCTTGCCAGTCTCATCAACGCCATTCTTGTGCGAAACGTTTCTTGTTGGTCCAATTTATAATGTAGAAGCGCTTAGCGAGTTGAGTTGTAAAATATTCAACTTGTATGCGGAAAAAAAATTCGATTTGTTATTTTGGCAGTGCGAATAACGGCATTGGGCAAGGGCAAGGAAGCGCTGAAGGTGGACCGGTAAATTTTCTTTTGTTGTCTGCGCGCTTCCACAGACACAGATGCACATATGCACTCAACACACACACACAAGCAAGCGCGCACACACACGCATATGCAGGCGGCGCACAGCCGGCACGTAACAAAAGGAGACAAATATTGAAAGCGACGAAAACTGAACAATTGCGCGCGCACAAAAAACTTCACTCAATTCTCGAGCGTCCGTCTACAGCGAAGATCTGAGTCTGCCGACCGGCACAGTTGGATAAAAACAAACTAGCGACAATGGCAGCGACGACGACGACGACGACGACG